TGTGCAGAAAACACGGTATTGTCGATGCGCAACCCTCATCTCCTCTCGTTCAGATCTCCTCACCTGACGCGCTCGCTATCGTTGATGCAAGATAGGATGGTCTTCGAAGGTAACGATCGGTATAACTTCAAGAGCGAGCGGGGGATTAAAGAACTTTTCCTATATAGAAACTAGACGAACGTTATTATTTGGCGTTTCTCGTCTCGTTACACGAGTATACTACAATGTGTCGGAAATGTGCTTCAACTAGTCGACGACGACAACACGGACGAAATCGACGACCGGGCCCAACTGGGCGGACATTCAAATGCGTTTCGTTCTTTCGGAATTCGACTTGGTTGAATTGCGTTATTCAAATTCGCGACGGTATTTTTCTGTCACGCCTCGCGAAAACGCGCGTGAAGCGAAGTGGAAAGGAGAGAGACGCGAAAGAGGAATTGTAGCAAATCGCGAAGCGCGTACCGGATCCGTTAACTTACAAGCGGAGCAGTCGGTGGTTTGGAAGGGAAGGACGGAGGGCGCTGGTGCGCGGACTCTCGACGACTTCTCGCATTTTTATCGCTATCGACGATCGCATTAAGGACGCGAGAGACTCGAACGTGGAACGCGCGCACCGGAGGTGGAATTAGCGTCCGGGGATATCGTACGACAAAACGGATGCGCGCGGAATATAATGAGACTTCGCATCGAGAACGAGAGAGATTAAATACGGTCCGCGGGAACTGGGAACGGGGGAGAGGAAGAGATGTGCCATTTGCGCGAAAGCAGCGCTTGCGTACGTAATCGCGTGTATGTACATGTTTGGAGCGCGCGCGCGTGTGTGTGTGTGTGTAATGTGTGTGTGCGAGAAAAGCGTTGTCCCCCCGACCGTAAGAGGAACACGCACGCGGTCAACGCGAACGTTTCATTTTCTCGGGATTAAGTAACCGCCGGTGCCCGTTACGTACATGCGCTCGCCGCTATTAACGATTTAATTAGCGTAAGTTTTCATCTGTAGGATTACGGCGGCAGAGCGCGCGGTGTGTGAACCGGTTAAAAAGGGGAGGGGTCGGTCAGCGGTGGGGAAGAAAAGCGCGCGAAGCCGTTTTTCACTCGGGGAGGGGTTGCTCCCGGCTTATTATTGCGTTCTCGCGGATTACATCCCGGACTCGCGGCAATTTGCCGTTCGCGTGTACCGTAACGAGTTGAGAAGAGTGTCATTAATTTCGCGCGCGGTTCAAGAATCCCGAAAGAAATGGCGCTGCGCGAAAATCGTCTCCCTCTCTCTCTCTCTCTTTCTCTCTCTCTCTCCCCCATTCCGCGCTGAAGATGGACAAACAAAACGTCGTAATTTAATCCCGCGAAAGTTTTCCCGAGCGGAATATTTGTGCGCCGGCCGGAACGCCGTTTCGTTTCCTTGGAAACGGTAATTGACGTTAATCTCGTTCTCACGTCGGAGTAATGAGCCGGGCTGTTTATACGTATATACTCTCTCGCCCGAAGTTCGCCGCGCTTTTATCCCCGACGAGCCCCAAGGTTTATGGGAGCCGTTCGATCAGCAGTTTTCGCGAATCCTCTGGTACTCGTCATTCCGCTAATTTCGTCGTTCGTTGTTTTTGATTTAAAGCAACAACCACCTTTCGGCAGAAAGACGTCGGGCGAAACGTGCTTGTGACACCAAACTTGAGTGGATTGAGTCGACGGACCAGCCGCGCTGCAGAGACAACGAGACGTAGACAACACGCGTAGAAGCGAGAGAAAAGACAGAGAGACGCGGGGGAGGGGGGGGGAAGGAGGAGGTTAGAGGGACTTTGTGCGCTCTGTGTGTTCTCTTCTCAAACTATTTATTCCGGCACAAATCGCATTACCAACTTCAACTGCAAAATTGACTTCGTCCAACTTTTACGGCGCCTCCGCCCTTACGCGCCCCCCCTTGGACGCCACCCGCACGGTCAGAACTTGGACTTGTACGAGGGTTTACCAAACTCAGTTTAAGAAGAAGAAGAAGAACTGTTTCAGCCATAGAGAAGGAGAGAGACGGCATCTTGTGGGACTTCCCTTCCTCCTCCCGCCTCGTCGATATAAAATCGCGCGACGCGAGCTTCCGGCAGAATGGCAGTTCGGAAGTTCGAACCCGTCAGGAATAACGAACGATATCACAGTCGTAACCCGTTATGTGTTCTTCTCGCATCAATTTAGCTCTTCGACGCGTCTAAATATTTGCGTCGCTCCCTTCGTTTGACGTGTCCGTTTTTTCTTGTCTCTCCGTTCTTGATATTCGTTCTGCGCGAAATTCATTATCGAGTTTCACTCTCACGTTTCTACGCTATGATAAATTTTGCGCGTGCAATGCGCAACCTCAACGACGTCCCGTGTTCTCATTTCTCGAGAGCTAATGCGTGTTGCGGAACGTTGTAATTATCGATGTTGAAAAAAGAAAAAAAGACACTTGCCTCTCACGTCACGTGTAAGCTCACGTGCTTTTCTCACACTGCGAAATTTGTTTTTTTTATCGCCGATTCTAACTGGCCCGAATGTAGATTTGCTCGCAACACGCAGACAAGTGTGTTGCGTTCGCGCAGTGTCCGCCGCCTGGCACTTTCTCGTTTCTCCGCTCTCGGTTTCCTGCAATTTCGCGCGATTTCACGTGCGGGAGCACAGCGGAGCAGTCCGCGGCCTAGATGGGTGCGTTCAATCGGAAATCCGGCAAATGCACCGCAGTGCGCGACAATAGCGCGCTACAGTGCGATTCGACGCTATCGTCGTCGTCGTCGTCGTTGTCGTCGTCGTCGTCGTCGTCATCGTCGTCGTCGTCGTCGTCGTCGTCGTCGGGCCTGTGCACAAGATGATTAATCAGAACGATAAACTATTCCTTATTAATAAGTCCTTAGAAGCGGTTCGCGCTTCGAAGAGTGGGGGCTATAACTCACGACGGAACAGATACCTCCTGGGCCTTCGCATTAAAATTGAAATTAGCCACCCATTTGTCTTCCCGTTTGGCTTAATCGTGACTAGCCAGGTGATTTATGGTTTTCACTTCTGCCAGCCGAGTAGCGTAGTTTCCCTTCCCGGATACGGCGCAACGCGTAATGCAATTCAAACCAACGAAAGTCAAAGAAAAAAAAGTTTTCTGGCGCCGCCGCGCCACGCGCGCGCGCGCGCACTTGCTCGCTCGCGATGAAAAGCATGCCCGCGCGCGGCTTATAGCCGTATTGCGTGATAGCGCCTGTAACAGCTGTTGGAAAATAGTTTTGTTCAACTCTCGTGGAACTCCTTATTACATTCTAAATGCTCGCGGTAGCCCGCCGATATAATGTCGTCGTGTTGCATCACCTTCATCATGCCTTGACGCGCTGCGCGATTTTGCTACGTGTCTATATTCTCACGCCTCCATAAATCGTTTACGTTGCGTTTCAATCAGAATTGTAACCACGATTAAACTCTTAACGACGCTCTTGTGATTTTGCGCGTGTGTTACAGGTATATGCGGTAATGCAGTCAGCGTTGTGTGCGCTTTTTTTTCTACGTTCGTGTTATGAATATGCAAAGAGACCTGTTTTTTCTCTTTCTCTCTCTCTCTCTCTCTTTCTCTCTCTTTCTCTCTTTCTATTTGTATTTATTATTTTGTTTTCTTTTTATTTTTCATAATTAGTATTTTGTTCATTTTTTTTCATGCTTATTTTTTTATACTATTTTTGTTTATTTATGTTAGATTGACTATTGTTCTTTTTTATTTATGTTGCGCTCGGGAGGATTTTCCCAAGAGCGCCTCTAATAAACAAAGCGATATTGTATCATGTCATGTTTTTCTCTCTCGAGGTTGCATAATACCGATCGATCGATGATAACAACGATGACTAACGCGTCGTGTGCATCGTGCATAAATATTCAAACAGGCAAGGACATAGCGAATCGAAAGAATGCAATTAGATGAAATGCACACCTGCGGTTAAGAGTTGCTAATAAGACGCAAACTGCGAATCTGGAGCAGATATATTACGTGTGAAAATTTCGCAACGCTGTGCTTCTCGTGAAAGTGTAGGCTAGACTAGGTGTATGAAATTTAAAAATTTTGTTACGTAGATACGCCGGTAATAGCTTTCGTAAACGCGTTCGAGGAAATGCAACAAAGGTTTCTGGCTCTATGTCAGATAAACGTGCACTGTTTGCGAACACTTGCTCTAGTTTCCGATCACGTGGTGGCTAATGTGTGCGCTCAACCACATTCCGTATTTCATATTGATGCGCAGGACTTGATATCACCGATTTGCGTAACAATAGATACGTTGTGTATATATATATATATATATATACGTATCAAATAGATACGTAACAAGTATAGTAAATCTCTCTTGTGCGCTCATAAAATATTGTGCGGTCTAACCTCAGGCTATTAACATAGCGTATAGGAAATGCCGAGGCTAATGGACGCATTCACGTCTCTCTCTTCAGTTTCACCGCCGCAACATACATACATACATCTCTGGATCTTTTCGCGAATATGGAATGGCGGCACAATTGTGTTACCGCAATTGGTTGGTTTTCTATTCGAATTGATTACGGAAAAATATAATATCTCGCGTGTGTAATTTTCTTTGACGCATTTGAGAAATATCTATATTACAATCATCAAATTAAAAATTTACGGAATTTGAACACGTTCTCTCAAAACATCGCACGCATATTTTTCACACTTCTCACGCGCAATAGAAGACCTTGTTTCGCATCTATGTTTTGAAGTACGTACTTACACGTGGAAAAATATGAAAAAAAAAAAAATTAATTTAACGAGGTTTTTCTCATTTCCTGATTAATCAACGAATCATGGTGCTTATTATCACAATAACAAGCGTGAGTACTACCTTGAATCCGTAGTTCCTTGAGTTCAAGGTGAACCGCGCTCTCTTGTCTCACCATAACTAGAGAAATGCGTGGTATGGGGAGCGGGGAACTGGTGGGGTCCGCTACTATATCGAAACAGCGATAAAATAAACCACTGGAAACAACTTTCCGCTCTGTAACGCCAGTGGTCTTCCGATCGCGGGCACGGTCGAGACCCTGAAGCTCGAAAGTCTCGCAGAACTAAAAAAAAAAAAAAAAAAACGCGTCGGACGAATTAACAGACAGTTGATCAGTGTCGCGGTGCGGGTCGTCGATGTTGCTTCTTGTCCGTTTACGCATCATGGAATTGATTTGGACGTTGGTTCTGTTTCTCGGGTTTGCGCACCCGTCCCAACCGTCGCACCTCGAAGTGATTTATCAATGGAAATATCTGGATTGGGTTTGGCCGAATATACATCTGACAGGAAAAAACTATACGTTGGGCAATGCCTTCACGCAGGATGTGGATATCGACAGGCAGGGTCGCGTGTTCGTGACGAGTCCGCAGTGGTTGGACGGCGTGCCGATTAGTCTGTCTTTGGTGACTAAGGCGAAGGGTTCCGGCGGTCGTTTGTTAGTGCCGTATCCCAATTGGTCCTGGCACACGCCGTTCAGTTGCGACAGCATCGTATCTGTCTACAGATTGGCGGTAATCTCTCACAGTTTAAAATTACATTGAATCTGTGTTACTCTATCGTTTGATTTTTCTATTAATTAAATGTGTGTTAGATTTTTTTTTTGTAACAATATGTAGATGTAGAAATTGACAAATTGTGTGCATGGTCTTCAGATTGACGAGTGCAATCGTTTATGGGTGGTCGATAATGGCAGAATAATGACGAGAGCGGTTTGCTCCACGAAAATATTGATCTTCGATCTCGCCACGGATCGGTTGATTCATAAATACGTTGTGCCGGATGATCAAACGCTGTACGGGAAGGCGTCATTAGTTACGCCAATCGTCGATGTCGGAAAAACGTGTCTCGATACTTATCTCTACGTGGCGGACGTGGATCAAAATGGACTGGTGATTTATGACTTATATCGCGACCATTCCTGGCGAGTAAACAACACGTGCGGCAACGCTTTCGGCCCGGATGAGGATGCCATGAATATTACGATCGCCGGTGAATCGTTTGATCTGACGGACGGTACGCTCGGTATGTCACTGTCGCCGCTGGGATATTTTAATCACAGGTATCAGCGCTAATTACTGCCATTCTGGATTACTCAATTTTGTAAAGCTTCTGAAAGACGTGTACTTTAATTAAAACTCAAATAAATTTAAATTTGAATTAATATCACGTTGTTGTCTCCAAACGCGCGTAAATTTGATGATAAGTTAAATTTTGTGAAAGTCAAAAGTTGCAGTTTATATTTTCGAGAACGAGAAAATTTAAACTTTGACTGTAACTCTCTTCGATGAAAAAGTTTTCGTAGTTTTTCTCCCAGTCGAAGTGTTGACAATATAAATATACTAATGGATCGATGAAAAGTTGTTCACTTTGTCTTTCGCGATGTTTATTCGTTTCAGATATCTGTATTTTAACTCGCTCGCCAGTTACTATCAGAAATACACGGACACGTATTCGTTGACGCGAAGCGAGTTCAGAGAGCCGATAGTGTTTCAATCAAATTACAAGCGCGCGAGCCAGGCAGGCGTGCAGGCAACCTCTCGGAGAGGCGTAATATTTTTCCAATTGGTCCAATTAACTGCCATTGCCTGTTGGGACATCGGGAAACCATTTACTTCGGAGAACGTCGTGATAATAGCACAAGACGAGGAGACTCTGCAGTACGTGAGCGGCATTAAGGTGATCACGAATAGGGCCGGCAAGGAAGAATTGTGGTTCAATACCAACAGGCTTCAGAAGACAATAAACAAGACCCTCAAGCCGACGGAGATAAACTTTCGAATAATTAAAGGAACCGTCGACGATATTATTCGTGGCACGAAGTGTGAGCCATCCGGCGTGAGAACGTCAACACCGGACACTACGTATTGGCATCAAATCTAACTCACTCATATAAGACTCTTATATCCTTTCATTACCTCATTTAAGTAATTTTAGATTACTGTAAATTTCGTCTCTCTGTAAAGCTTATTAATTTAAACGCGTAATAAGCTAGACAAAAATATAAGTGGAAGAAAGTTAAAATCCTTTTGTACCGTCGACACCTATTTTTAACTAAATTCACGCAAAAGAATAACCTTGCAACATCTCTTCGTCATTTTTCCCTCCAGATTTCGCAATCAGAAACGAATTGGCAACTAAAAGCAACGATTCGTTCGCGTATCCGCGCGTGGCCGGGTAGAAGGACAGAATGGCAGCGAGTCCTGCGAATGACAGCCGGAGCGTGTAGCAATTTAGTTAACCGTTTCATTGCTGCCTTTTGAGATGTAACGATGAGGTCTGTCGGTGACACAAGCGGCGCCGCCACCGCCGCCGCCGCCGCCGCCGCCTCTGCCGTTGCCGCGCGCCCCGAATGTTTCGACAGAGTGGCTTGACGCCGCGAGGGGGAAGTAAGGGGAAAGGAACGACGCAACGAGCTTCTTGCCGACGCTTCTTTCCACCAAGTTTTACCGAGCTTTTAGATTTGCTGCCGATTCTCGGCGCGCGCGGGCGCGGGCCGCGGGGAGAATCCAGAATAAATGCGCATTCACGGGGAATTGTTCGGCGTTACTACCCTCCGAGATACCAATAGGGCGCGCAATTCCGGGAAATTCGTGTCACCTACTTCTCTTTCTACGGCGCGGTTCGGCGTGTGACTAATGGCGGCATATTCATGGCGCAGCCTCGGCGCACTCCCTCACGACACCACCACCACCACCCTCTGTCCTCTCCCTCTTACGAAGCTCTGGCAGTTAACCTCAGACAACCCCTTCGTCGCGATAATATACGACTGCCCTTAAATTTTCGTTCCCCTCCGGCGTGCTTTTGCCCGGCCTATATCACCTCTCGCGCGCACCGCGCGAGAGAGCACACGCTCTCTCTTCTTTCCGGAACACACAGCTAACGCTGCGATTATTATTGCGCGCATTGAATCGACGTTTTTACGGCGTGAGCACACTTGTAAAAGAGGACAAATGTGAATCGTTAAAAAAAAACTTATTGATCGCTGATAAATATACACACACGTAAAAGAGGCAAGATGTTTCGTTTCCAAGTGTGAAAAATTATATGCAAAAATACCGTGTTTCTTTTGCCTTATGTGCGCATACGGTTTTATGTTCGCATGAATACTAATCGGTTATGGTGAAACAACCGAGTCGCGAATACTCCGGAAACGTAACGTTCGCGCCGCTAAAACCACATTTTCCGCCGCGCAGCGCCGAGAGTACTAGCCGAGCGATCAACATCGTTACCTTAAGGGCGGGATGTGGAATTACTTAAGAAGCGACGGGATACGACGCGATAAAGTCTTACCGCGGGCGTGTCCGCGGCATGGAGAGAAAGAAAGAGAGAGAGAAAGAGAGAGAATGTCTCAAATCGTTTTACGAGGGTACTTTTAAAACGACTTTACGAGAACGGCTCGGAATTTCGAAATAAATTTGCATCAGTTTTACTGCCTCTAATATACATAACTACCGGTGTTTGGCACTGATACTCGGGGCCTGAGTGGCCCAGACAACGTTACACTCTCGTTGCGGACGATCGCGCTTGTAAAAAGATGCGCACGTGTTTTCTCCGCGCCGCGTTTCTCTTGTTTATTCCCGTAATGATACTTGCGAAATATAATACATACACTCTTGCGCAACATTATGGTAATCAAAAGAGAAAAAAAAATGTTTATAAACTAGCGCGCGCAATGCGCGCCAATTTCCCCTTCGTAGTTTTCAATTATTTCATTGCCGCATCGTGGCAGCTCGTTTACCATCGGTTATTATCGCTGGTAATTATCCTGAAATTTCGATGTTCTCTTTCGAATAATGAATTTTTAACGAGCAATCTAATAGATTCCAGATAATGCTTTCATAAAGGAAAAGTATTATATAATTCATGCCGTCACATATATCGCCGTCGAGTATTGCGGTCAAGCTCCATATACGCGAGAAACGTAATGGCAAAAACGTAACGAGTGCGTGGCGTGGCTTTGGGCGCGCGTTAATTCGCAATTCGGTGAAACCGCGCGACGCGGCCGATGGAACGCCGGGCGAGAATTTCGAGCATCCGCCGCGTCTTTATTAAGGCCGGCTCGTCTATAATTCACAGGAGCGGCCGGGCCTAGAGCCGGGCTGACATTGCCGGACTCACTGGGCGCATAAACACACCGTCGGCGTCTCGTGCAGGAGGTTGCCGTGCGCGGCACACGGCCGTGTGTGCCACGCATTGCGGTTGTCAGCCCTAGTCAACGTGTAATTTACTGGCTCACTCACTTCTCTCCCTCCCTCCTCTTCCTCTTTCCCTCCCCGTTTACCCCATCGGTTTGATGCAGCCGCCGGTTTTGGACTCGGTTTGGTGCAGGCGGCGTCTGGCCAGTCGCAGCGGCAACAACAGTAGCAACAACAACACAATCGCTCGGTGCCGCTGCGCCGCGACTAGTTACGATGCAAGTGGATAACGCGGCGCTGCACCGACGCTGACCACTCGACCGCAGGGCCGCTATAAACCAGCGTAGTGCGCACTACGTCTTCCGAAACGGCCGGAACTTTCGAGCTGTCGCGCCGATGATCGTCGAGATTATCTACCGCTCTACGTGCGTAGGAAATTCTCGCGAAATATCGGCAAACTTGCGCCACTCGAGTCTTGCGTTACCTCCTGAATTCGAATTTTTTTTTTCTCCACGTGCGCGCGATTTGTCACATATGTAATCGCCTGCGCCTTACGTGTCGTATCGATCGTGTACATAATCCGGAGTTCTCTGCGCAGCAGAGAAGGCAAGATCGTTAAAAAACAATGTTTTAATTAACGACCGCATTTAACTTATTTAGTTTATTTATTTTTTTATTTTATGTAGTTACGAAACCATAAAATGTCCAGGTCTAAAAAACGAGCGACAACTTAAAACTTTATTTCTCTGTACCATTTCGAGGCATCACGTCTGTGCGAGCTCCGCTCACTCTCTCCCTCTTTTTCGGAATCTCGCGAGCAGTTCGCTTCCTCTTTTGGCGCACGCAACGACGCCGCGTAATGCTCGGTCGAAATGTCGTTTGCGCCGCGAACCAGTCTCTTACGTTCGCAAACCGTTCGTTACCGTTAGTTCCGCCTGGTGTGGCGCGTTCGCTACGTAAACACGTACGTATGCGCGGTGCCGTAAGAGAGGCCGATGGAGAACGCGTTTCGCTAGGAAAGGTGTGGCACATCGTGCCGTGTGCCATTTGTTACCTTTGCCGCGCGCGCGTGCGGCAGTGTGCAAATAACGGATATCAGCCATCGCGCTGTCCGTAGCACGTTTCACTTTTGTTTTTCACGCACCGCGACACACGCGGGTTGGTCGTTGAATATCACGCGACTGAGAACTGGTCAGTTTGTTTATTTTTTTATTTTTTTTATTTTTTATTGAAAAATAAACTTTTTCATCTCGATGTTTCGAGTCTTGCGCAAGCCGCCACCTTAACGTCCGATTGCGCTGCCGCAATCGCAAAGTAGAAAATAGACCTCGCGTGCAATTAAAATAATTTTCGACCCCTTACGATAGAAAGCGGTAACGACCGGCAGAAGTTTGGAGGAGGTAATTTGTAAAACGGCTCGTTCGGTTGAATTACCGTCGGATCTTCGTTGTAAAACTTCCTCTCGCCCGAAAATTAGCGGGATTATCGGGCATGTATCACTTGCACATTCACTGCCCAAACGCTGTAATCTCAACGCGGTATTACGTTTTAAGGGGGCTTTCTCGCGCGAACGAGACGGATAAGGATTTTCATGACGTGCCTGCGAGTATGAATGCATAACCCCCCTCCCCCCTCCAACCGCGTGCCGTCCGCCAATTTTCGTACGTTGATGTATCGTGAAAGGAACGATCGTGGCGTAGATCGCGCTCTCGTAATGAATAGCTTGGGCGAAAATACATCGGGTCAGGGTACCAATGGAAGATAGCTCGATGGATGTAGCGAGGCGGAGCGGAGACGTCGATAGGTATGGGTGCAATCAGCGCGATGATAACCAGTATTACCGCGTCAACCCATCCCCTGCCGCCGATCTCCACGGCGTAATTCCCGGGGGTTCTATTTGTGACGAGAACAAGCGGCTAGTATGACGGCAATCCGCCGGATGATGTATTCCGTGTTATTTATTTCCAGCGATACCCGAGGCCCAGCGATTGGCTGGGTGACAAAATAGAAATCAGTTCGGAGTGAGGGAAACCGTCGAATGTTCGCGCTTTCAGTCAAGCTCGTTGTGTGTTTCGATTTTCTCCGATCGGATATATGTCACGTCTGTGTGACATCTTTTTTTTTCTTCTTCTTTTTTTGTACGAAGTACGTACAACGTGCCTAATGTCGAACGTGTTTAAATAATTTTCGGAGCAGAAACGTATATATTTATTTTAATTGCGCTTCCGTTCTCTTCACATAATTATATGTTTTGATTACATTCTGCAACTTGCGTATGTACATACGTTACGTGAGAGCGAACTGTATGTTCGGTTATATTTGCTTTTCACTCACTCGCATGCGTGAAAGACAGAAGCTTAAACTCGCGAGTGAGTTTTCATCGAGAGGAAAACTAAAGGGAAGACGCGACTAACAGCTGGATGGAACTTTCTCGCTGCGTGGCATACAAAGTAAACTTGCTAACGTTGTCCCTCACTCACTAACCCGCTTTTCTCCCTCCGGCTTGTGTCTATCCTTTCCTCTCTCTCTCTCTCTCTTTCGAATATTATTCTCTCCCGTGCCGCGTAATATTTCCGCTCGTTCGTATCCATACATTTGCCTGGCCGTGTGCGTGTATGTGTGTGCGTGCGCGTGCGCGCGCACGCAAACCCATTTTTCGCGTCCCTCGAAAGTAATACAACCCTCCACTCCAGCAGGCACCCTATTTATTTCCGTACGAATTTCGGGAGGCAGACGGAAACAATGATTTTAATAATACCGAGTGTACGTGCTGCAGCAAAAGAGAAATTCTCTTCTCTTCGATTACATCAAACTCGTGTTTGCGTAAACAAGATTCAATTTGAAAACAAACAAAAAAAAATACAATCAAAATATAACAAGAATGAAACAATAAGAATAAAACAAGAACAAAAACAAAACGC